CTTCTTCTTCTTCTTCTTCTTCTTCTTCTTCTTCTTCTTCTTCTTCCTTTCTCTCTCTCTCCCTCCCTCCCCTCCTCTTAGATTGAACCCAGGACCTTTGCACAGAGCTGTACCCCTAGTGCTTTTAAATTTTGAGAGAGGGCCTCACTAAATTGCTGAATTACCCAGGCTGGGCTTCAACTTGAGATTCTCTGATCTCAGCTTCCCAGAGTGCCGAGGTGTGTACCACCTCTTCATTCATTTATACAAATGCTTTCTTCTGTAAGGACCCGTATTCCTTGTGGAAACATCAGACTTAAAGGCTGTGCTGTTTTGCTGAGCTGTTCTTCTCCTCCAAGCCAGACGATGTCACGGGGCAGCAGGTCCCACTGAAGCTCACACACAGGAACAGTCCTCTATGAAAGTGACTGCTCATTGCTGCCTTTGCATCAGTTGGGAAAACTGACATAACACTTTCAATCAGCCAAATGGCAATATTTAATCTACCGGGCATGATAAGAATTTAAATAATTTACTAAACTTTTGGTTTTGGGGGAATCTTTAAAGTCACAGACAGACCCCTTGGGTTTCACCTGAGCCCACTGCTTATATTTTTTGAAATTCCACCTTCATTTTTCTAAAATTTTAAGGCAATGAACTTTAAAACACAAGAATAAAGTAGGATGTCTTACCTGGGCTTTGGGTGATGTTGCCCCTAGTGCCTGCATATGTGCATGGCTCTTATCTTTTTCTTCTTTTCTTTCTTCTTCTCCTCCTTCACACACACACACACACACACACACACACACACACACACACACACACTCTTATAGTGCTTTTCTTTCTGTTTGGTGACATAGATGCATTCTCCCTTGCTTTGAGCAGGAAGACACCTTTCAGGGTTAGGAGATAAAACCCTTGGTAGTTGCTGCCAAATGGCATTGTCTTGACCCAGGAGCCCTGGAAGGTTTGCCTAAGCTGCTAGGTGGACTAGCAGGGCAAAGGCAGTCTCATCTGCCCGGCAGTCACTGTACTATAAAGGGCAGCAGTGTCAGCAGCACCATGAGGGATCTACTGCAGCGTGCAGGCAGGCAGCTTCATCTTGTCAAGGCTCTAGCACCACCTGCACCTCAAATGTGAATGTCACTGCTTCCTCCACATGGATCTGGAGTGCGGGAAACATTAGAAGGCAAAGCTTAAATATCCCCTTGTTAATTTGATGAAAGCAAATGCAAAATTTCAAAACCAGCAGTGCTGCTTCAGATACTTTGGCATCTTACTTTGCAGAAAACAAGGAAAAATCAGTACATATTTTGGAAAAATAGTTAAAAATAGCATATTGCTGCTCATCTTCCTTTTTCATATGCTGCTAAAACACCTTTTTTTCTTCAGTGAGCTTGGCTCATGGTTGCCTGGATCTTATTCTTAATGAAACGTCTTGTATTCTCTCTTTTCATCCTGGAAACAAAACTAGAAAACGTGGACCTATTGTTATGTTGGGCCATAACACAGATTTGCTATTTGGCTGAGGAAGCCCACAGGCTCTGCTAGAGCCAGCTGACCCTACGATCCCTCCGCAAAGTCTAATTTGAGTTATGGACACAGCATACAGGCAGGGATATTACATTTGTTTCTCTTTTTAAAATGTGCAATTTTTTTTTGCAGTGATCTCTTTATTTAGCCTTATCTTGCTTATATTTTAAATGTGTTTTTAAAGTAAGAATTTTTTTAAAAATTTATTTTAAGCATAAAATTTTTAATTTAGCTTATAATCCCAGTACTTGGGAGACTAAGGTAGGAGGATCACCAAAAGTTCAAGGCCAGCCTGGACTACAAAGTGAGTTCAAAGCCAGCCTGAAATTCAGAGCAAAACTGTCTCAAAAAGACAAAATAAATTTTTCTAAAAAATTTAGTTCTAAATATCTTTGAAGAAAAACATGTATTTTCCAAGTCATTACACTTTGAAATGAAGGCATAACTTCCTCTGAAGGTTTATTTAGCAGATTATATAGTTTATGATAGCATCTTTGAAATCCTGACAAATTTCTTTGAGTATTTCTTTTGGTATTTGAAGAAATGATTTTATTATTCTCTGAAAGCTTTGAGTTTGGTAAATTGGAAAAATTGTCATTCTTTGATACATTCAAATCTGGATTAAATCCAAAATTAAGCCTGTGCGTGTTGCTATCATGCAAAAAGAATTTTATTGAAGTTGAGAGAATCAATTTCCTGGAGATGATCTTCATTTGCCAGGAAAACTCATCGATATTCCTATATCAAATGCAAGTTTGTAATTTAATGCAATGGATGATAGCTACAATAAATGTAGTATTAAGCCAATAAAATTAACTTTTTAAAAACTACCTTTACTGTATGGAATCAAGGCAATGCCCTGTCTTGTAAGCTATAGGACGTAACATAGACTATCATCAATATATTTCATTGTCTGGCAATGAACAATGCTCATCCAGCTTTTAAAGAGTGAGTGATCTTGTTATGTAGTTTAGGGATGCAGCATCAGTGACATAGGAGGACAGCATCTATGGCCCAGGTTCCTTTGGCTTGTTCTTGCCTTTGGTACCAGGTGAAGGTACCATGGGAATGACTGTCTCCTGTGAAAGTTTGGCATTGGCCCACGAATGAGCTTGGACCTCGATTCTACTGAAGCTTCCCTAAGATGATACAACTTCAGGGCTGCCTCCCAACCCTTTAATCTTGGCTGCATCCCTCTTAGGCTCAGAGCTCCGGGACCCAACTGGGAAGACACTAAGGAGGGAGGCGGCAGAGATAATCATACTTGCAGTTGATTTTTCAGCCCTTAGGCCCAGGGATCCTAGGCAGCAAGTGACAAGCCTTTTGAGTAGGAACTGAAAGTGGACTTCTGCCACTTTTCCTCCTGGGGAAGGCTTGATCTGCTCTCACAGGAGACTAAACAAAGGAAGCAGATATCTGCTATCAGGGATGCCCAGTGAGGTGCATGACACTTCTCAGTGCTTCTTTTTGCTTTATATCTGTTCTGGGCTCAGAGTTCCAGACCCAGACTCATCTTCTACAGCAAAAAAATAGAAAATAAAAACAGAACCCAACTCAGACTTTTTTTTTCCCCCGGTACCAGAAATCGAACTCAGGACCTCGCGCTTGCCAGGCTGGCGCTGTGCCACTGAGCTAAATCCCCAGCCCCCCAACTCAGACCTTTGCATTATTAGTTCAGTGGTAATAATCATGTTTCTTGTGATGTATGTCAGGCTGTAGCAGTCCTAACCAGTGGCTTCTTTTTAACTTAGGCTGCTTAACTCTCCAAGGACAATCACACCCCCACCTTCCCCATTTTCTGTGCATATTCAGCCCTGCATGTGCCGTCAAAGAGACAGTTATGTACAAACACTTCAACTCAGTCACCTCCCCACCCGCATTCCCACCCCAGCAGTCCCAAAGGGGCCCAGATGAGCCACACTTTCCAGTATTCCGCTCTTATGTAATCCTTCCCTTGAGCCCTCGCTGGCCCTGTGACTTGGCCTTGATGTGTAGTGTGTGGAAGAAATGACTTGGTGTCACTTCAGAGGTTATTTAGAAGAATCTGGATTCTGGCAATGCTAGTTCTGGAGATGCCAAATGAGTTCTAACAAGTCTGACCATCTTGAGACCTCCGTGTTGTGAAGAAGTCCTAACGTGCCATGTGGAAAGAAACGCCCAGCCTTTCTCCAGCTATTCCAGTCATTCCAACTGAGGAACCAGACATGACATCGAGTCCAATCAGGCATTCAGATGATGCCATTACCTGGTGCTGCCACCTGGCAGCAACCATGAGACTCCGGGAGAGAGCAATCACCTAAGCCCAGTTAACCCCACAATCATGAGAGACGATACATTTCTATTCTTTTTTTGTTTCTATTTTGTCTTGAGACAGGATCTCACTGCGTAGTTCAGGATGGCCTGAAACTTACTCTGTAGCCCAGCCCGGTCTGGAATTCACGGTGATCCTCCTGCCTCAGCCTCCCCAGTGCAGGGATGGCAGGTATATGCTAATAAATTTCTATCCAAACACTATGTTTTGTAGTGCCTTGTTACATGGCAAGAGAAACACCCACCACCCCAGGACCAGATAACAAGGAAAATACCAAGCCATTGTCTCTATCTTTTGTTGGCATCTTTGTGTTAAGTGTGAAAGAATGACTTTCTTCCCTTCCAGGGTCTTAGGAAATATGCACTTACTCATGGCCATGAAGACGAAATCATTGCACTTGGAGTTATGATTGTTAATTTTGATTGTTAATTATGATTGTTAATTGGATTTTGAAAACATCCACACTGTAGAAACCATTCCTTTCCCCTCATTTTCCCAACTGGTACCCATCACATAGTGCATTTCTTGGACATCATATCACCTGATAGATCTTCCCAGGTCACAGGCCAGGAGGTGCTTTGGTAGTAACACACAGCCAGGGCAGATCTTCTTAAAGATGATGGCAGTGAGAGGAAAAGAATCTGAGCTAGGAAGGTGAATACCTGGTGCCAGCTCTTCACACGGTCTCTTCCTAAGATCAAATTTAGGTGTTTCTCTTTCTATTGCTATTTCCATTTTTTTTTTTTTTTTTTGAGGTACTATGTCCTTCTCTATCTTTTTTTTTTTTTTTTTTTTTTGAGGTACTATGTCCTTCTCTATCTTTGGAAAGATGTTGGAGAATCTCCTTCCCCCAAGTTCAATGACACAAGATTTGAGTTTTCAAAAGGAACATTTACTAGGAACTAAAGGGCAACCAAACAGAATGCAAGAGAACAGAGGCAGAGGTACAGATGGGCTGAAGGTGTTCAGATTTATAACCAGCCTCTGGCCACAGCTGTACAGGCTAAGCCAAGCTTTCCAGACACAGTGGCCTTTGCCTGCCGTGTGGGCAGCGCTCTTTGCCAGATTGTCTCCACAAAGCCACCTTGTATTCATCTCAGCAAGCCAGTAGCATACTCTTCAGTACCCCGGGGCTGCCATATCTGGGCAGGAAGATCCTGAGATGGGAACAATAGGCACGGCTGCCTCAGGACCTTCAACCCAGGCTCCCATTGCCAAGGACAGGTCCGAGTTTAATGGGATGGCTGCATGCTACTATCCACTGGAGCCAGTCTGGGTTCTTTGGAACCATTTTTCTAGGCTCATCTGCCTGGATCTAGGGACAATCTTTCAGCTCACTCTCCTGCTGGCACTAGCCCTTCATGCTTTGGTTCTAAACACTGGTACAGTGGAGGATGCCAGAATGGGGAAGGATAGGCAGACGGAAACCTTGGTAAAGAAAGCTGAATTTTTTTCATGTCATCAGACACAGGCAGAACTTGGATTCCTTTTGAATCCTCATGGTCAAAAGCCAATCAGAGATGGACATGATTAGGCAGGCGAGGGAATGAAGCTGGAGTATAATAATACTGCCCCACCCAAGTAAAGGCCTCCACCCTTTTTAGATCTGACATCAAGGTAGAGTTTTTTGTAAGAGGCAGATGTGGCAGCCACAACTTTCTGATAACATCCAAGGATCCTGTTTCCACTCAGTCTTACTTTAAAATGTGAACTCAAATGAATATAATGCGCTTTCTAGGAAGGTAAACCACAGTTCAACTCTGGATTCTACTGCAAAGAAACTGTATGAAAAGGGGAATGCTCTCTTGGAGTACAGACATAAATGTGTGGAAGGGGTGCCTTGTACCATAATGGGACAGAGAGAGGACCACCAGGGAACAGCCCCTGGCCCTCCTAGGGTATGCTGAGGCCTTTGGTTTCAGTTCTGTGGAAGCAGAAGCAGTAAAGATGAGGTGCATAGCTGGCAGGAAATTGGCAGGAGGGAAGTGAGTAATGAATGAGCTACCCAGGGAGAGCCCTTGACCTTCACTCTTATAGGTATTTCCATTCCCCAAGTGCTACAGAAGTGATATGTGTCTGCACTGAGAAGAAAACCTCTATATGCGGCTGCCTGAGCCTAGACCCTGGGCTGTTGCATATGGAAATATCTGAAAAGGCACTCAGGCCAAGAAGGCCCCCAGACTGTGCCTTCCCTTCGGGGGACCTTGTGTTGTCTTTGTGATCTCATATCACACCATGCTACACCTATTTGTGAGGCTGTTCCCTTAGTGAAGAATGTACCTGGGAAAGGGTATTCCAGAATGCATATGTCGTTGAGAGGTGCACCTCTCTAGAGGGGATGGATATTACATGTAATCGCAATAACACCAGCTGAAAGGAAGCAGCTACTGGCAACCTAGAAAATAATGTTCTAGGATCTCCAAAGTCAGAAGCTGGTTTAAGCAGAAGAAAGAGCCATAGTCATGGTCAACTGGTACTCTGCCATGTGCACGGAGGGGGCAGTGAATTTGCTGTGAACGAACCCTCCCCGCACTGGAGTTTCTCCAGGGGAAGGGCCTGCTTGTCCTGTTATTTTCTTGGGGTTCCTATCTGGAGCACTTCTTGGGGTGCAACTATTCTCTGAAGACAGCCATCAGTTCAAAGGTAGTGGAATTTGAATTGAGATCTGCTGCCTATTTAGCACCTGGATTTATTTTTAGATATTCTATCCTTCCAGGGCATTCAAATAACTTCATGTCAGAATGACCACAGCCAGGGCAGGCGCTATGTCCCTGTTACCAAGGGCCTTATATTAATCACTAAGAGTCTTGGTCCTCTTGGGACTTTCACTATGTCACTTGCTTTCTTCCATAGTCCAATCTTGGTTCTTGGCAATGAGAGATGAGCTTCCCCCCATAGCACATCACCTTGACCACCTGACAAAGGTGGCTGGACCATTTAGATTCACCAAACCCAATTTGGAAAGAGGGCCAGTTATTGCTGTGGTTACAGCTGAGCATTTGGTCACTGGAGTTGTCCGGGTGTTGCTGGATGGAAAAAGTTACGTAAGATCATTGTTAGATGGTTGTCCTACTGTGTCCTTGGCACAAGCTGTCCTCTTATCCACAGTCATCGTTTCTGCAGGAAGAACAAACAAAAAGAGTGATTTTGTTTGCCACTGTACATTTTTAATATGCACCAAACAAGTGTCTGTACTGTGATGGATGCTGGGAATATAAAGACCATGAGAAGGATGCTTGCCCCAGTTTCAAAGGACTTACAGAGGGACAAGGGGATAATAGAGGTGTAGATAACTGCTGTAGGAACTTTTGAGGAGGCTGAGGAGCTCTACCCAGAGGATTCTGAAGGGTAAGTCTTGAGTTGGGTCATTTAGGCTGAAGAGGAGCCCATCAGGTGAGAAGGAGGAAGGGCCACTGTGGGCACAGAAGAGTGGGAAAGGGCCAAGGTAGGGAACAGCACGGTGCACTAGCAGAACTGTCAGGACAGAGGCGAGTGGACTGTAGTTGGAGGAGTGGGCTGGTGGCAAATAAGACTGGACTGGAGAAACAGGACACGAATGGTGCAATACCACAGCATCCCCTTCTTGCCTGATGGGCTTCTTAATGGAGCTCCAGACTTAGATCCACAGATACTTTAACCTACATTAGCACAGTCAGCTCAGCATTCAACTGAAATTCCACTCAGCGTACATTACAGTACAGATTATGGTGGATATTAATGCTTCAGTCACAGAAAGAAAACCAAAGTTGTTTCCATGGATATAGTAATAATAAAAAATTACACATAAACTATAAAAGGCAGAAAACACTCTCAAACTGAAATATACGGACTATTTTAGAGGTAAAAAGTTTGCATGTAAAGCAATCCTTCCAGGGTATTCAGTAAAGTAATAAAAGCTGGGGGTATGTGGTAGAAGAAAAGCCATGCTTCACTGGTGCTGGTCTCTCGGTCCTTCTTTTCAGTCCTAGCCTTCCTTCCAGCTGTCATACTTCAGTGAGGGGAGTCACTGATGAGGAGGTAATCTGCTATTTTTCACAACCCTTGGGCTGTAACTACTTGTTAGATCTTTCTTGCATATCTTTGTTTTCCTGAGAAACCACTTTGAAGATACCAACATGTATTACAGCAGCCATTGATAATTTCCTACCAATCTGTCCATAACTCTGTAATGTTTGTATTGTTCCTATGCTATTTCGTAAATGGATATATGTTTATTACTATGTGTTTCCTACACAACCATTGAGAATAGTCAATGATTATTGATCACTCATGTATAGCTCTATTTGTTTTCCCTAGAAACCACTTTGAAGAAACCAAAGTATAGTACAACAACCATTGATAATTTCCTACCATTTTTGTCTGTAACTCACTATTATTTGTCTATTTGTTTTCCTGAGAAACTATCTTGAAGATACCCATAGGTAAAATAACAACCAATGAAAATGTCCTGTCACTTTGTCTGTAATTCGGTAGATCCCCCTATTACTATGTTATCCTTCTTTTACTCTTTTAAATAAATTTTTTAAAAAAAGAACCATGCTTGATTGTGGCCCTGAGCTTTGAAGTGTGTGCATGTGTGTAAGCATACACACCCATCCCTGAAAAATCTGGTATTTGTTTCTGAGTCTAGCAGGAAAGGATGAACAGAGATATTTGTCTTGACATTTTGATTCATACGTAAATTTCCCAGGCTAGGAGCTACTCTGGAGTGCCTTCCAAAGGGTTCTACGTTCTAGACCGTCACATCAGGCTCCGCATCCTCCAGCCCCTTGCTCATCAGCTGTGAGACCATCCTTGAAAACCCCACCCGCCGGTGGCTAAGTCCTTCCCAATTAGGGAAGGCAAGCTGTCAATAAGGCCAGCCCCACCAATGAATGTAATTTGGAATTAGTTATGCTATTAGCCAAGTGCTATGTGCCACTTTCCTTAATTTTGAATACTTATTGTGTGCTAGGCACTAGGTTATAAACTTTACATATCTTTTTTTCTTTTTTTGTCTTTTTAAAAATGTAATTAATTAATTAATTAATTTGTCTTTTTGAGACAAGGTCTTGCTATGCAGTTCAGGCTGGGCTTGAGCTCACTTTGTAGCCCAGGCTGGTCTCAAACTCACAAAGATCCTTCCGCCTCAGCCTCCTGAGTGCTGGGATTGCAGGTGTGCACCACCACACCCAGTTTTTTCTTTTTATTTTAAAAATAGAAGGGGAAAACATTAACAGGCAGACAACCTTTTACAAAATAGCCAAAGAACAGTACAGACAATACAGAGTTACAAAGTGGTAGGAAATTTCTGCTTTTTTTTCATTTTAAAGAGAATAATGATAAAAAAGAGCAATAGCAAAATACCAACAATATAGACAAAAACAAAACAAAGCAAACACAATAAAAATGATACAGGGTTTCAGAACAAAATGATAGGAATTAAACATCTTTAAAAGAGCCCTGTGAGGTTCTTTATTAGAGGAGACAGAGCTGTAGAAACTGGTTTACACAAAGCCACGTTGTGACTAAGGAAAGGTTCAGTCCATCTTTAGAGTAGTAAATCATCGCTACCAACGGTCTTTCCATTGGGAGTAAACATTCTAGGGACTCAGGCATGCAAATGAGGTCCGAAAAAGAGGTTCAGTTGTGTCAGGAGGACAACTGAGTATGGTGTGAATAAATCATGCTGCCACTCACCACCCTTTTTCTGTCTTTTGGGACTAAGACTGAAAACACAGAACCGAACCAAACAAATTAAACACATTACAACATCTTCCCAACTCTTAAAACTCATAAGTCATTCAGCCAACATTTTTATAAGGTGAAGTCTGAGGGAAGATTTTTCTACAGTTCAGAGGAGCGTTAACTTAGTGGGGTTTGGTGGGGGATCGGTGGAGACCATGGCCTCCACCCCAGAGTCAGCCATGATGTTTTAAGCACTGTGGCCCTAACGTTGGCTGAGCTTGCTCCAGGCTTACTGCATTGGGCAGGGCAGCAGCGTCTTTGTTATCAGGCCCACTGGCCTCCCAGGCAGTATCACAGGTTTGGAAGATAACAGGAACTTCAGCAGGAAGTGGTGATTATAATCCTGTTTGAACAGAGGATTTTAAGTGAATTCAATTGCACTGAGACACAAGGATTTGATTGGAATGAAATCTAATTGAAACCAAAGATGAGAACTGTCCCAAGGAAAACTGTAATGTGTAGTGACATTTCAATCACAAAAATGACAGCTGATGTGACACAGGCCATGGAAACTGACCTGCAATTAAGAACATGAAAAGATGAGTGGAACATCAGACGTTATCTCCCGATGAATTTAAAAATGGATTTTGATTACAGGAAGTATCTCAGGGCATTGAGTTACGAAGCTTGTCAAGAAATGAAGTGATTCACATTACATGATTCAATCTTATATGTACTTAATACTTATATTTTAGAACTGTATCTAAAAAGCACAAAATTTCAGGACTTTTGGGACCACTTATTGCTTAGTACAGCTTTGCAAATATGTATATGAAAAAACTTCACATTTGGTCCACTTAGAATTTGACTAGCTTCTTCCTTTCCCCAAAAGAGAGCATTTTATATTTTTCACTCCCTCTCTCCTCTTTAAGAACTGGAATGGTGTAGAAATAAAACATGTCAAGATAAGGTATACCATCACTCGGGAGATTGTGACAATAGCATGGAAAATAAGTACCTTTGTGAAACAACTACTATTTATTGAGCATTCACTCACCTGGTGCTCTAGCCTAAGAAGGTCACATACCTTATGTCAATCCTTACCTCATCCCTCTATGACAGATATTACATTTCAACACGTAAGGTAACCAAGTCTAAGCAAAGTCAATTAATAAACATTTATGTGGCAGACCACAACCTCCACCACCTCTTTACGGATCCACACATAGGCCCAGGATGGCAAATTCTATTGTGTTTTGCATGGCAGTTCCACAACAGCACCTCTTACAAATGAGTCTCAGTCTGGAAAAGAATTCTGAACAGTTTAGACTATGGAGCGGGGTGTTATAATCCACTGTCAAGTTAGCCTTGAGGAGGAAGGTGACAGATGGTGGAATGTGTGACATGTATGTTGTTATGAACCTGAAAATGGTTCATTAAGCCACAGTTGAGAAACAAGAGCTCCAACGAAGGCCCCATTCAGAAGAATAGTCGATTCTTTCAGAGGAGGGGTTATGATAAGGAATTACTACAAAACAAAAAGTACAGATAAAGTTAAGTGGAAGAGCTTTGGGATGTGCTACTCTACATTCACATTAATTTATGCATTAACATTTTCAGCATGTATTGAGCATCTGCTCTTTGTGCGAGCATTAGGAACACAAAGGATGCACGATGCACAGCCTACTTTTGAGGTGTTCACAGTTACCCACAGAGGACAATAGGATGAAGGATGGTGCGAGGTAGTAAAATGAAGCCTCAGTCGGGAATGTGACTATAACTGCTATGTGTATGCATAATTCTACTTACCCAAATTAGGGAAGAAGAGGGACAAATATAGTTAACCTTGCCCTGTCCCACATTTTACTTTTGCAGTGTTGGACTTAAATTTCTGAATGATCTTTTGGAACTCAATTATTTTTGAGAATCTAAACTGATCATTCTGTTCCTATTACTTGGAAAGGTAACACGTTAACACCAGGAAGGGCCAATAAATAAGATGAAGTAATGATGCTTTTTTTTTCTGAGACAGGGTCTTGCTATGTAACTCAGGCTGGCCTTTAACTCACAGCAATCCTTCTGCCTCAGCCTCCTGAGTGCTGAGATTATAGGCATGTGCCACCATGTTTGACAAAATATTGATGCTTTTCTGTTGTTATATTTATTTGGCTGAAAATACATATTTTGCTATCCTCATTCTGCTTTGTTTTATGCTTTTAAGCTTAATGCTTAACAAGATGATATTCTAGAAAATTACTAAATTTATGATTTTAATGTGTGTATTTAGGAGAACTTAACTAGTTAAATCTATAGTCAATATTTAAATGCTTAGAAAAATCTATTATAATAAATGAACAAAGTTGATTTTTAAGGTGTAGAAATGCTTAATTTCTTTTAGCATTGTGAAGGTTAAGTGCTTGGGAATAATCTGTTTAATACTTACTGAGTTT